ATAGCAGCTAAATGCTGCTGTTTTTTGTATGGTGAGTGGAGAGACCGGGAGACCCTTTTTACTGAAAGGTATTCCATCTTGGTACTCACGGGTGACAACGCATCTGCATTTTGATTCGTGGTCAAGTATAGATGTAGATGCCTATGGGCCACATCAACCATTTACCATCTGGTGGACTGTGAACTCGTTTGTCACCCATATACTATAAAAAATAAATAAATAAAACAGCCTTCGTTATTACGTCATTAATGTTAATATTATTTCTTGCACGCGGATACGTTCGATAAACATCAATTCGCAAATTTGTCACGTTACCCTAATGTTATTTTTTTCACTTCAAGCGGAACCAACGAAGGGTGAGCGCCCTCATGATATTATCGTTCTTGTATTACTCCGTTTCAGAATTAAGTCTGCATTCACCATCTTGCCAAGCGGGAATAGATGATAATATTTTATATTTCTAAATAAATGTACTGTGTATTTATACATTATTATGCTTTTATACACCCGTAGCATGTTTTATTTAGAACATTATCTATACATATAAATAAAATTGTCTGTCTGTAGTATAGAATCAACCGTCTTTTGTTGAGCTGGTTATATATATATATATATATATATATATATATATATATATATATATATATATATATATATATATATATATATATGATATTTGCATGCCATTATGACAAAAAATAAACGTTTTTGATATTTGTGTCTCTCTGTATGTCTGTTTTTCCGGGCTAATCTTCAAAATGGCTGAATCGATTGTGACTAAACTTTACTAACAAGGCTTAAATTTATAAGAAAAATTTTAGGTCATTTAAAAAAAAAAGGAGAATTGATAAAACTTGACTATCATAAATCTATATAAAACCACATTAATATATTCTATACAGACGAAACCGGGATCGGTCGCTAGTATTATAAACATATGCGGTCACTGTTATCTATAAAACAACTTATTCGTTTGTTATTTCTATAACATAACCGGATTGGATTAAACCTTATTACAAGATGTGCATAATACTCCTGTTTAAAAGACTGGCAGCGCACTTGCAATTCCCCTGGTTTTGTGGTTGTTCATCGGCGACAGTATTCCCTACCATAAAATGAGCCGCATACTCATTAGTCCCCTATTCTATAAAAAATTATATGTATGTATAAATAATAGGGTATGTATTATATAAAATTAGTGTAGTGTAGTAAAAACGGACTTTGGCTCCTTTACAATTAATGTTTCCATATTTTTGCCACTCTGTGGAAATGTATTTTTTAATGTATATGTTATATATAAATGTACTCATATTCAAGCTAACTTTTAATTTAACTACCATCAGTTGTAAATTACATAGGTTATAAATAAGCCAGAACAGAAATGTCAGGCACTCACTAATTGCCATTATATTTTGTATCAATACCATCGATAGTCTTTATAAGTCCCTTGCAAAACAACGGCTGTACGACACTCAGACGTTTCAAACGTCCAACATCACGGCTGATCGAGAACAAAAGAACCTGCGCCAGACAGCAAGTACTACTTGGAAATTTTGCTTATGTCTACTATACTGGGCAGTTAGATTTCAGATCGAATCTTGGTCACGGCAACCTGTCTCAACGGAGAGTAGTCATCTGCGCAGAATAGAATTATAGTAGCCAAGTGTATGCAAAAACAGGGGCACTCACACCCCCGATAGACCTATGGGACCTACGATCAACAATACCAACTAGATAACGGGTCACGTACAAAATCATAGCTAAATACTGTCCACGTGAATATAAACTTAAACAGCTACATTTGTTTACTAAATAAATGAGACAAAAAATTAAAATAGTTTTAAGTTCAACCTAATTACAACCATCGTATCTAGTAATAAAGTCACAAATTGTTTAATTGATTGATCTTGCTGAACTACTGCACTATTGAACTATGTTGATCTAATTTGGGTACTATAGAGGTTATAATAAAACACTATGTACTTGATCTGAATTCTTTTTTTTATTAAACTTAGGACCACAAACAAGTTCATAATTATCAACTTATCTAATATAATTACTACATATTTTTTTATTATTGTGAACTCAGCAATGCTGGTCACTTACTTAATTATAACATTTTTTCAACAATAAATAAAGCTTGTTACAGAATACAACTTGACATTGACAATATCTTGTTATTCTTAATCCAGAAGTAAAATCTAAACACAGTATCGACTGACGAATATTGTAGGTTTATGGTAGGATATATGACACCACTGCTCATTAGTTTTATTTTAAATGGTCGTGTCATATATTCCATTATCTACTCAATGAGTACTTGTTTAAATTTCTCAGTGACAATCTTCTTATAATTACCTCGTCCAATGGCATTAATATCGATATTATTAAAATTCTCATTGTACGAGTGCATCATACGTGATAAAGAGGACCTTCGTCCCGCGTTAGTTCGGCATAAATTAATACAGAAAAGTTTATGAGAATGGGCCACGCGCTGATGTGCTCTGGTAGGTACCCTATAATTTATATTTTCAGTTATATCCATACAGTCGTATCTATTGTGACACAGATCATAAAATAACATTGCCTCGAGAATTGTACGCCTTGATTTAAGAGTGGTAAGATTATATTTTACCATGAGTTCATTGTACGGTATTTTTTTTTTCGCATATTTATAATGGATATATTTAAGAAATTTCTTCTGCACAGTTTCTAGTTTATCAATATATTTTTTATATAGAGGATTCCAAATAGTCACTGCATACTCTAAATGACATCTTATTAAGGATTTATAAAGATGTAAGTAAGTCAATGGATTTTTAAACATATTACCAGATCGGATGACGAAACCATATATCTTATAAGCTTTGTTAATAATATTTTCAATGTGTATACTTAGATGTAGTTTAGTGTCAAAAGTTACTCCAAGATCCCTGATTACTACTTCTTGAGATAAGGGGGTACCACATAAATAATAGATGCAAGAGCTGTTTTTTTTCTTTTTTGTAAAAGTTATAGATTTACATTTGTTAAGACTGAGTTCTAACTTATTTCTATTACAGTACGATGTGAAACGGTTTAAATCATCCTGGAATTCTAAATGGTCATTAGTGTTGTTGATAATTTTGTATACCTTTAAGTCATCAGCAAAAGGAACCTACTTGAACGGAAGCACATATTAATGTCATTTATAAATATCTTGTGGGTGGGGGTTCCATGTTATAAATAGAAAAGGACCAATAATAGATCCTTGTGGCACGCCCGAAGTAATCGGTACACATTCCGATTCATGACCCCTAATAAGCACTTTTTGCATTCTGTTCGAAATGTAAGACTTAAACCACCGCCATAGATTACCTCTTATTCCATTATAGGCATTTTTTCTAGTAGCATTTTATGGTCGACCCGGTCAAATGCCTTGCGGAAATCTGTGTACACACAGTCAACTTGCTTACGTGCATCTAGAGCTTCAAATAGGAAGGTCGAGTAAATAATTAAATTAGTCACAGTGGATCGATTCTTAACAAAGCCATGCTGCTGTGGCAATATAACGTTACGTAAAAGCGGATAAACGGCGTTATGTACCAATCGTTCAAAAATCTTCGCTAACGTAGGTAGTATGGAGATGGGTCTATAATTTTCAACTTCTTTCTTGGACCCTCCTTTGTGTACGGGCACTATTCTAGCAGTTTTCCAGACCTTGGGAAAAATTCCACATTGCAAACATTTATTATACAGGAGGCATACCGGTTCATCAATAACCTCAGCAGTTGCTTTTAGAAACAGAGCATGGACATTGTCCACCCCGGCACCCTTCGTTACATCTAACATCTTTAATTGGTTAGTGACTTCGAGTTTTGTGAGTTTGATGTCGTTTATAAGAATATCAGGTGTTTTAGTATCGTCAACAATGATATCTTGAATATCAAAGTCATCAGTGACCGTAGTTGGCTCAAAAACCGAATGAAAAAAGCTAGAGAATATTGAGCAAATTTCGTTAGGACCTGTAGCCACCCTATCTTTAAAATTAACAGTACTCGGTATGTCAGAGATCTTTTTACGATTTTTCAAATAAGTCCAAAAGAATTTACTGTTATCCCTAATACTACTCTCTACTTTACTAATATAGTTATTATAGCAACGCTCTGAAACTTTTTTGAATTTATTCCTGTATATGGAAAAGATATTGTAATTCGATTCACTTCGATATTTTTTCATTTTTTTCCAAGCCCGGTTCTTTTTATTGTATATCAGAATTAATTCAGGCGTAAACCAACAAGGGAAACGATTAGGTTTGACTTCTTTGATTGGCACATGTTTTTTAATAATTTTGTAAATTGTCTCATAAAAGCACGCAACAGCATCTTCGGCATTTTTGTCCAAAAAAAGATTTTCCCAATCGATTTTTATAATTTCATCTTTTATTTTATCATAGTTAGCCAATCGATAGCATTGTCGAAATGTTATATTACGTTCTAGGTATTTTTGTGATTCTGATAAGGTAATGAAAACTTCAAAAGGGGGGTGAAGAGCATCGGGAGTTACCAACGGTGAAGTCACTGATGATAGGCTGCATTTAGTTGTATTTGTTATAGCTAAGTCTAGGATTCTGTTATTTTTATTAAGAATATAGTTCATCTGATGACCGTTTATTAGTGATATAAAATTAATTAGGCACCAGCATGAGGGATTCAAGTTCAAATCTATTATAGGTACAAGGGCCTGGCCGGTATTATTCCAGCCAAGATTCGGCAGATTAAAATCACCAATTATAATAAAACTTGCAGTCGATCCAGATAATTGGTTTTGTAATAAATTAAAAAAACTATTATATGTATCAAAATTTTGATTAGGTGGGATATAGACGGCTGAGAGAATATAAACATAGTTTGCAATGCATAACTCTAGTAATAAAAAATCAACAAGAGGCGGGAGGGGCTCAAAGTCATGCGTCAGCGTTTCAAGACGAGCTACAGCACAAAGCGAACGGTGCACCGCTATCAGTATGCCTCCGCCGTCTTGCCGGCCGGTCGTTGCACGATTTCTGTCCTTTCTAAAAATATGATACCTATCGTCTATAAATTCATTGTCGCTGATATCCGCGTGTAACCAAGTTTCCGTTAATACAATTATGTCGTATGTATGAGAGATAATATTCATATAAAGAGTATGCAGTTTAGTACGTAATCCTCGACAATTTTGGTAATATACAGTTAACATATTAGAATTGAATTTTTTTATTGTATTATAACAAGTAAGTAAAACCGTTCGGTGCAATATGCGGATAGAAAATGTTGTGAGATATAAATAAAATATTGAGAACACAGAGCATATTGTGGCATGTAAATGTGATAAGAAAAATTATGTTTAACAGTAACAATTATTTTTATGACTATATCGATATTTCTAAAAGAACAATTATTTTTATGATTTAATATGCGATATAGCCAAATACTTTTAGGTAAATTGTTATTGCCATCATACAATGAGATCACAAAAACTTTTATTATGTATATACGAGTAGAATTATGAACGTGTGGGTTAGACAATGGTGAATAATTATTACATAAATTATCATAACAATAAGGTGATTTCTTAATATTATTAGGGCTTAATTTTATTAATATCTTGTTCATTACGAATTGAGAATATGGGAGAAGTGTCGTTTTGACGAACCAGTATGGTACCATGTTTAATCCAGACAAATTTGTAATTATTTTTTCTGGCCACTTCACGACTGAGTAGAAATAATTTCTTATTTTTGGGTGTCAGGTGTTCATTGATGTAAACATTTCGCGAGGTACCTGATATCAGTAGTTGATCTGATTTGACACATTTTACTACCCGCGCAGCGGCAATCACGTTATCCCGTATTATTTTGGTGGAGAATTTCACGATGACATTTTTCGGGTGGCGATTTTTTTTATCCATATGCAGCACGCTGTGCACTGATACTATGTCGGCAGGATTAATAGGGTGCTTAATAATTGAGCCAATGTTTTGAAGTACAGCTATCAAATTTTCATCACGACGTTCTGGGAGATTGACAATTTCTATATTAGACTGCCTGACCTGTTGCTCCATCATGTCTATTTTAGATTCCAGCATTGATAACTGAGTGGGGACTTCTTTACGCCGCAGAGAATCCTCTTCCATCGTTTTTAAACGAGCGTCAAAAGCATCTTGCCTATTACTCATATAGTTTACCGAGTCATGCATATCGTTTAACCGAAGATTAAATTGGTTCAGGGTATCATTAATGGATGTTGTTAATTTGCAAATTTCTCTCTCAAGTACCAGATTTACGGCATTTTTAACAGAGTCTGTGACTACCGCCTCAATGCTAACTTTAAAAGATTCCATTTGGTTAGCTATTTTCAACTCTAACGTATCCATAATTGAGTTCAACTCGTCGGGTTCAGGTTGTTTGCGTTTACGCATATTAACAAAGATATTATTATCAGTTGAAGTTGAAGCGGTTGACAAGTCCGGATTAGATGAACACAACTTAAGTTGATTCGGGGGGAGTTCGCTGCATGTTCGCCGTCGTATCGTCGTCCTTTTCAAATCAAGCTACGAATATGTTGAGCGCTCCTTTTTGTTATATGACACTTAGTCACGACGCAAGTGAGACAGTCAAACAGGATTTAAACTACTTGGTGCACTAGTCACACAAAATTGTTACTTATGGGTATTGCAATAGTTTCGATATTCAAACGTTAAAAATATTGCAAATAATGGAACAGCAAAGTACACAACTGCTTGTAACAAGCTTCACGGACGGAATGATTTTAATATGCGATTTATTTGACTATACACTTTATTGGTGTGATAAATGATAGCTCGTGTTTAAATCGCACAGCGCCATCTACATTTCTTTATTGCTACTAATTAAATGGTCTTAAACATTCCGCCCACCAAGGACATTTAATGACAAAATGGCCTTAAAAATACAATAACTCCCACCGTGGCAGAATGATGAAATTATTCTTGACATACTGAACTTAAACTTAATAATAACATAATTGAACCTTAACTTAGATAATGACTTAATTGAACTTAAATATTTTTAAACTAAAATTATTCCAAAAAAAAAACTATTTAACTTATACTTTATAACTTATGTTAAGAAAATAAAAGTTTTTAAGGTTATTCTATCACTATAACTAACAATATATAAAACACAAAGTACAAAGATTAATTCTATCGGCTTACTGGTAAAACACATAGTTTTGAAGTTGGTCGCTTGATAAAAGATGACTTATTACGTATTATGACCACACGGGTGACATTATCAATCCCGGGATGCTTTTCAACTATTCTGCCCATTAACCAACGACTTGGCGGTAAGTTGTCTTCTTTTATCAAGACTACATTACCAATGTTCGGTTCTGGTTCCCGAGAGCTCCATTTGTATCTATTTATAAGGTTAGATAAGTATTCTTGAGACCAGCGCCGCCAAAAGCGCTGTAACATTTGTTGAATGAATTGCCACCTTTTTAATGAACTGATATTTGATTCTAAATAACCATTGAACTCGGATACAGCTATAAGCGGTCCCCCAATTAGAAAGTGCCCTGGTGTTAAAGGAAGTGGGTCACTAGAATGTGAGCTGTCTATTGTAATGGGCCTAGAATTTAAACATGCTTCAATTTGACTGAGAAGTGTGCTCATTTCCTCGAACGTAAGTGTGGATTCAACTATTACGCGTTTCAAGTGTAATTTCGTAGACTTGACTCCAGCTTCCCACAGACTACCAAAGTTGGGGGCGTGTGGCGGAATGAAATGCCACTCAGTCCCATGCGATTCTAAGTACTTAGCAAGATCTTCCTGGTTGATCTTCAGTTGTTCTAGTTCCCTTGAAGCGCCTACAAACGTAGTCCCATTGTCACTCCATATTTGTGCGCAGTGTCCACGTCTTGCTACGAAACGTCTGAACGCTGCAAGGAAGGCCTGGGTGCTCATGTCACTTACCGCTTCCAGATGTATTGCACGAGTGGACATACATATAAATAAGCATATGTAGCCTTTATGAGAATGGTGACCTCGTCCTTTAGTTGTCCTAATGTTTATGGGGCCAGCATAATCCACTCCACTGTGTAAGAATGCTCTAGCGGGTGTACAGCGAACGGTAGGGAGCGAGCCCATAAATGGGTTCTGTACTTTGGCATTTTGTCTAACACATATCACACACCTACGAACATGTTGTTTAGCCAAATTTTTTACACTAATAATCCAATACATAGTTCTCAGGTAATTTACCATTAATTGGACTCCTCCATGTAATGTATTCTGGTGTGCCTCTGATATAACTAATTTCGTGAAATATGCAGAATGTGGTAGTATTATCGGATGCTTTGTTTGCTCTGGCAGTTGAGAGTTTTGTAGTCTTCCGCTAACTCTCATTATGTCATTGTTATCGAGATACGGACACAATGATTTGAGCTTACTAGATTTAGATAATAAACCATTCTTCTTAATTTGTAAATATTCTTCACCAAATTCTTCCTTCTGTACTTTCTTAATGCAACACATTAGTGCATGGTCTATTTAACTTTTAGTGGGATAAGATTTCCGCTCAGTACACTTATTCTTCGTATTAAATCGTCGGCAATAAGCTATTACTCTAAGCAGCCTTTGTAAGGAAGAACACCTGTGAAATATTGCATCATCGGAAATGACATTAATATGTGATTTGATGGCTTCTTCTAAATTGATCTTTAAATTCATTGGTCTTTTGTAAGGAATGTTTCCTGTTTTCTCTCGAAGAAAATTTGGACCGAAAAACCAAAGCGCGTTACCTGCAAGTGCTTCTGGCTGGACACCTCGTGACGCACAGTCAGCAGGATTTTCTTTGGTTGAAACATGGTACCATTGCGAAGAGTTCAATTTGTTAAAATTTCTGACACTCGGTTGGCCACAAACGTCTTCTACCCACTGGGGTGGCTGTTAAGCCAAGCGAGCACGACAGTTGAATCTGTCCAAGCTTTAATATTGCTCTGATTAATATTTAAAACTTCTGCGACCTTCGTCAAAAGTTATGCTAATAGTACAGCACCACATAATTCTAGACGTGGTATACTGATCTGCTTTATTGGGGCAACTTTAGTTTTTGCTGTCAATAAAGAAACTTTCGTATTGCCATCGCAGTCAACGACTCTTACATAAACGATTACTGCATATCGCAGAAGCCATGCAATTCAGTGTTGGTGTCCGTCGTTGTAGTGCCTAACCATCGTGGAATTCTTACTGATGTAAGTTGTGGTAACTCATTACGGTAAGTATTCCAATCTTGTAATAAATCAGCTGGAATTGGTTCATCCTAGCTTGTCCCTGCTAGCCATAACCTTTGAATAAACATCTTTGTAAAATAATGCTTGGTGCGATCCATCCCAAAGGATCGTATAGTCGTGTTATAATAATTGTAATTGCCTTCCCGCATTTCCCTTCTCTGTTTGTACTCCCTTAACATGTCCCTATCCGGTGAGTCCTCTTTATTCATGTCTGCTAGTTTCTCATTTATGCTTATTTGTGATAATAGTTCCTCATTATTGCTGTTCCATTTTTGTAGCTTAAATCCACCTCTAGCCAATAGCTCCGTCATTTGTTTGTAAACTTCCACTCCTTCCTTGACGTCACAACATCCTGTCATTAAGTCATCCATGTAGAACGCCTATAATACCCTTGGTGCTGCCAATGGGAAATTCTTGCCCTCATCCAAGCTGATCTGGTTCAATACTCTAACAGCTTAATAAGGAGCGGATGCAATTCCAAAAGTCACAGTCAAGAGCTCAAAATTTTCTATTTCACTTTCAGGGTTTTCACGCCACACTATACGTTGGAATTTTGTGTTGTCTTTAGCTACTCTGACCTGCCGATACATTTTAGTAATATCAGCTACCTGCATAATCGGATCAATTCTCCAACGCATTACTAAGTGACGCAAATCTGGCTGTAGTCTGGGTCCTATCATCAAAGTTTCGTTAAGCGAAACACCATAATTATTTTTACTTGATGCATTAAAGACAACTCTAACTTTCGTAGTTGTTTTGTCCTTTCTAACGACTGCATGGTGGGGTAAGTAAACAGCTCCATTAATTTCATTGTCATCTTTTCTTAAACGTCTCATATGACCTAATTGTAAATACTCGTTTATGACCTCCGTGCAGTTTTTCTTTAGTTCTAAATCCTTTGATAGCCTTTTCTCTAATGCCTTAAATTTTGTTACAGCTATTTGTTGCGAGCCACCACCCAAACAACGCGGTTGGTCGTCCCGAAATGGCAGTTTCACTATATAGCGGCCTTCAGCCCTTCTTTTTGTTGTACTTGTAAATATTTCTTCACATTTTTGCTCTTCTTCTGACCACACACTTTTTGTACTTCTTGGTTGTTCTTCTAATTCCCAAAACTGTTTTAAAATATTATATTCGTTTATTTGTGCATGCATTACCGTTATTTTAGAATTGTTTTTATAATTCTCACTGCTGTCATTGACTATACCAGACACGATCCAACCTAGAGTGGTGTTTTGGGCTATTAAAGATCCGTTGGGACTCCTTTTCACACCATCCATCAGAATTTGGCTGAAAACATTCGCTCCTAAAAGCATATCAATTTTGTTAGACACATTAAACTTAGGATCTGCCAGGCATAAGTCTTGTAAGCCTATCCAGTCAATGGATTAAATTTTTTGTACGGGAAGATAAGATGTTAAGTTCTTCAGAACATACGCTTTTACCTGGATTTTATAATTATTATAAATCCGAGATTTTAGATAAATAGTGACAACATATTTTGCCGTTAAAGATTTGTCTTCTCCTAGGCCAGTAATTGTTGCCCTGATAGGAATCTTTTTAAGTTATAAAAGTTGAGCTGCGGCTTCTGTTATGAAACAATTCTGAGAGCCCTGGTCTAAAAGAGCTCGTACTATTTGGTTTCCACCAGACTTAGACTCAGCATTTACTAGTGCAGTAGTAAGTAAAACCTGTCCGTATCCTGAGATTTTACGCATCGACAGACACGAGACTACCGCAGAGTTATTAGCTTCTGAGCTAGTACACACAACTGCCTCTTTGATAGCAGCACCCATATCCGCCTTTTCTTCTTCCGGATGTAAGAGTGAGTGATGGCGTCTTTTACAAATCCTGCAAGTCGTAGGCTTATTGCACTCGTACACAGTATGATTCCTACCCAAGCAATTAAATCAGATGGAATTTTTGGCTATGAAGTTACGTCTTTGTGCACACTTTAATTTTGCAAATTTTTTGCAAAAGCATAATTTATGGTGATCTGAGCAAAACTCACAGCGCATTGAAACATTTGTGGCCAATAATGTTTTAGGTTTTGTACTCGGATTATTATTATATTGTCCTATATTGGCCTTTTTTGTATCTGTGAACTCTAATGCACGGAACCGGCTTTCCATAAAACACTTAAGTTGT